TGCTTTCGGATCAGCCAGTGGGCCCCTTGTGGCGCTGGAGTAACCAAATCTGACTGAAGCTATAGTATTGAAAAGAAGTGATGTAACGAAGTAGCACAACCAGCATCCAATTAAGGATGACTGGCCTGCAAGTGTGTGTGTGTGTGTATGTGTGTGTGTGCGCGTCAGTACGTGCGTGCTCTCTCTCTCTCTCTCTCTCCCTCTCTCTCTCTCTCTCTCTCTCTCTCTCTCTCGCTCGCTAATATAGATAGATAGATAGATAGATAGATGTGAGATGGTGTTATGATGTTGTCTTGTAACCTATCATCATTTGTATGGGTCATGCAAAGAGTCAAATGGTACCCAGCAGCAGTGTTTGTCTTTTTCCCTGTCAGTTCCTGCGACACTTCCACACGCCGCTGCAGCCCTTTGCCGCATTCCTCGGTGGCATTTGTGCGCAAGAGGCCGCATCGTCTGAGAGTTTAGGACGCGGGATTCTGTGCTGGGGAAGACACCACGGGGCTGCTGTCTTTAGGATTATGAGAGGCAGTGCAGGTTTTCGAGGCCGTGGCATCTCCTTGATCGTCGTGCATCCCCGCTTTCATACTCTGTGAGCAACTGCAGCAGTTATGAGTGCGTTGTAATATTCATAGAATTTGCCCAGAAACCCTGTTCTGCTCAGGAAGGCCCCTGCAGCATGTCTTGCATCTGTCCAGGTCGTGAAGGTAGCGGGCAAATTCACGCCCATTCCCGGCTGGCTGCACTTCAACGCCGTGGAGGCCCAGCACTCACCCCTCTTTTTCCAGGTCGAGAAGGAGTTCGAAACCCATCAGCCCTTGTCACTCATAGATCTACATGAGATGATGCAGGCAAATATCAGGCATCCCCGAATTTTAGCACAATGGCCCTCGTCCCCAGACGCGCATTCCCAAGCACGTAACGATTAATCGTGAAACCATTAGTACCGCAGCCCCAAACCTCTCAAAGCGGCAACTCGAGATCTCGAGGCTTTGGCCTCAAGCTAGCTGCAGCCCAAGTAGCAATAGAAGCCACAGACGACCAAAGCCACTGCCACTGCTGCGACTGCAACGGCAACAGTCGTATCGACGGCCATAACCACATCCCGAAACACCCCAATACAACGGTACTTTGCTAATTTCAGGCGCTCCCCGACTCCCCGCCGGCGGATGCTGCGCCGCAGGGCAGCAGGTGCCGAGATGCAGCCTGTCCGTGCTGGCGAGACATCTGAGAGCTTTGTACATGCGTACATACATCTACATAGTCTACATTCAACATTGTGCGGGTACGGACACACACACACAAATGTATACACATATTTTGTTTATATACATACATACATACATACATACATGCATGCATACATACATACATATATATATACACATACATACATACATTCACACATACATACATAAATACATTCATACGTACATACATAAATACATACATACATACATACATACATACATACATACATACGTACACACACACACACATATACCGGAGCGCTACATAGCTTCATTATTCAATTTCAACATGGCGATCACGTCGACAGTGACAGGGTCTTCGATTTGTCGTTTCAAGGACTGCAAAGCACATTGCATGGAGTTCCCTTCAGGTTTATATTGGTGTATGCATATGGTTCATGCCTAAGATGTCGGTTCGTTGTTTCGGACCCGCTGCTCTTGGGTTTTCTGTGGCTCCGGGTGTCCGCAAGAATGCTTTGCCGTGTCGATTGGGGCCAGGTGAAAGGCCGGTTGGGATGGATGGGTGTTGCAGTCTCAACTGTGGTCAGGGTTCACATCTTTGGTTGATTGCTCTGCCAAGCATCACGAGCAAGGGTCTGTAGAGCAAATTGGGAAGTTGTCGAAAGCTCCTGGCGAGATCATGTCTTAGAGATGAAGACTGTGGGTCCTCCTCTCCTCCAAAGCTTCGTTTAGGTGAAATTGTATGTGGGGAATCCGAAAACCGTTTCGAAGCGTTCCTGCCGATTTGCTGCTTGCAGGTACGATGCTCTGGCCGCCGTCTACGGCCACAGTTTCGTGAAGAAGCTGCAGAACCTGAAGCACCGGCCTCAGCAAGGGAACCCTCGTCGGAGCAAGGCACCGCTATGCACCGCTTTCTCTCGTCAGGTACTTCATGGTTGGCTGTGGCGCACTTGGGTGCGAGCCGAGTGCTTACTGAACCCATCCTTTGCAGTGCATGAAGACTTCTCCACCTCATCGCCACTTCGAAGAATCCCGAGTCAATCATGCCGATTCGGAGCCACTTGCATCGACCCAAGTCTCATACCCGACAAAGTCCGGAAACATGGCCCATGGGTGTAGTCACCACTCCGCAGTATATCGGCTTCTAAGTTCCTGCAGCACAGAGTCCCTCGCCTTCCTTGCTTTCCAGACTTAGAATGGCGTCATGCAGAAAGCAGAAAGCGGCACAGAAAAGGGACGGTACAATGACAAGAGGGGGATACATGGGTATGCAACACCAGGTATATGCAGCCACAGTATGACGGACAGGCAGGAGCCCAGAAACCGCACTCCCTGAAGATCGGTGCACCCAAAAGCCCAACCCAGAATGTGAACCTGAACCTTAGAAACCCTAGACCAGGCATCCCTTAGCCTCAAACCCGCTGCTGCGACTTTCTAAAGTCCTCCCAATAACCCGCACAAGCCCTAAACATAAGCCTCCGAAGCCCTAAACTTTATAAGGCCCTGTAGATTCAAAGGTTCCTCAAGAACTTCGCACTGAACGGCGTTTGCTGCGGCCCTGACGGCCTGCTCACGGCGAGCCCTGCGAGAGTTGAATGTTTGGGTTAGTTGTCTTTGTCCGAGTCAAGAGGAATCAGATTCTGTTGGTGTATGTCTTTGGAGTTTAGGTGGCTTCAGGAGCCTGCTTTTTCGACGCTGTAGAAAGGTTTTTGAGAACTTGCAGAGGATTGTTTTCTGCGCGCTACTGCAGAAGTCAAAGATTTACGCTTGCAGGCTAGCAGAGTATTTGCACTGGAGTTTAACGTTTATCCCTGAGCTTCTGATTCGATTGACCGGCTTTGCCGTGAAATAGGCCTGAACTGCCAGAACCCATAAGCCCTCCCGAGACCGCTTTGTCAGGAGGCAAAGGGGGCATAAGCATTCAAAAGCCGTTTAGGGTTTAGGGTCTAGGGTTTTGGTGTCGGGCTTGGGCTGCTGTTGCTCTGAACTCTCCAGGTCACAGATGCAGACCGCATCGAGCTCTCGAATCTGACGCGCCAGCCAATGCCCCGGCGCTCGAAGCTAAAGGGAGCTACTGGCAACATCATATAAGAGTATGATCAAGTATACTTCGCATGTCTGTACACATGTATACATGTGGTATGTTGCGTGTACGTGCACATATATATATATATGTACACATAATATGTATGTATGTATGTATAAATATATAGAGAGAGAGAGGCGCATGGCTGTATGTGCCTATCACCTGCAAAGCAAGTTTCATACGGCCACTTTACAACCACCGTGAGCACCAAGGTCATGATGACGATGCCGATCATGATGATGATGATGATGGTGATGATGATGACGATGATGATGCTGATGATGATGATGATGATGATGGCGACGATGCTCGTGAGGATGCTGACGATGGTGCGATGACTACTGATGGTTGCGCTGGTAGTAGGAGTAGGATCAGAACCGATTGTTACTGTATGGTATGGTGATAGACACTGACTTTCTATTCAATAAACTACAGGCGACATGTCCAACAGCGCGATAGTGCTGCTGGTTTAGTTCTTTGTGCAGTCATCCTGGTCGCTGTGCAACTTTTGTTATGCTTCTTACTGATTGCCAACAGCATTGTCACATCATAGTTATGATCTTGGGTTAGCTTTTTGCTACTGCGACGTTCGGGCTTGATCTCCTGACTAGTCTTGTCTCCTCCGACTCGTTAATCGCGTATTTGTGAGTTAGTTAAGGTCTGGACGGCGCCGTTGCTGCTCATGATGACGATGAGTTGAAAAGTGTGGCATGTGTGTTGTCGTCTTTGCTGCACGCCCCACTGTTTAGTACAGATTGGGGAAAGATCGAGCACAGAGTCACAGAGGTTTGCTGGCAACGTTTGGGCTGTCACAGTCGGAGCTTTCGCTTGCCCGACAGCTTGAGTGGTCGGCTCTGAGGTCCGAAAGCTCAGTTCTGACAGTTTCTGCTCTCCTTAAGGTTCCTCTTCCGGGAGCACAACGTTGGACAGCCCAAGAGCAAGGCAGCAACGGCCATGGCCCAGGCACTCCGGAAAGGGCGGATGCAAAAAAACACGGACATTTGTTTCCTGAAGTGATGGTTCAGGGTTCAGGGTTTATAGGGTTTGGGTGGAAGCATAAGTAGAATTGAGGAATTAGCCTTAATTCGAGCTCTCCGGACTGAGAGACATCGCACCTGTCTCAGGTGATGAACCCAGGCATGAAGGCTGGAGTCTCAGATGTCCTCTGGTCCGGCATTGTAAAGGTGGGCTATACGCAACAAACTGCTGAAGATGGCGTCACGTTCACACCACAAGCGCTTCTGCAGAGAGGAGTTGTTGAGGAAAGGACTTCAGTCGCAGCAAGTGTGTCCTTGCGTGAGAGACAGTGTAGCTACTCGTACACAGGACAGCTTCCCTGTTTCCATTTGGGCTGATGTCAGGTGCGGGCTCTCGAGATGTTCGTCGGGCCGAAGACAGAGGAGACGTTTGTGCTTTTGATCACGCTTACTTTTTCCACAGTGCCACGGCAGCGGGGCGTGCTTGCTGTGTCTTGCGTATGTTGCCGGGATGTGCGGGACAAGCCGCGGCCACAACAGACGAACAAGGAAGCCACCATCGGAGCTTTGAAGACTGACAAACACGATATACTGTACAATGACAGGCTCGGTTTTGGTTGCAGAGCCCGTGTTTCACATGACGCCCAGACCGGCAGACCAAATAGCCAGCATGGAAGGCAGCTCCATGACCAGAGAACATGCTGCGCGTCGACACTTCATGCCGGTGTCGTGCGAAGACTTGACACATGCCACCTCCACCCCAACCTCCCACCCCCTCATTACTCCGGGCGAGTCGGATTCTTCAAGCTTCTGAATGAAGGATAGCTTCAACGACGAGTTCTGGATGTCCCTGGACGGAGTCTGCAATGCGCTGGACAACATGGAGGCAAGCAACATTTCGGTCAGACCTCCGACTGGCGTGCATGTACAGGTCGACCTAGTGAGCGATAAAATTGCCTGAAGGTCCCTGGTTCTTCTCGTGAAGGTAGCCGCATGATGTTCCTCTGTGGCACTGTGATCAATCACAGGTCTTCGCTGAGTAGTTCAGGCGGCAAACGAAACTATAGAAAAGGAGAGTCGTCGGAAGACTGCAACCCTAAACCGTGAACCCAAAACCAGAAAAGGAGAGTCGTCGGAAGACTGCTCGGTGTTCCGTTTGATTTGCCCCTAAACGTCCAGCTTGTTGATTCTCTACTCCAGCCAGACTGCTTGGTTTCGGAGGGACCCGGGGTGTAAAGACCGCTAAGGCCCACTCTGAAGCCTGCTTGAAGGATTCGGATAAGTAATTAATTAAAATAACTATGATAGTTACCGTATTTAATAACCGTATAAGTCCCATGATCCTCAAAGCACAAGCCCAAACTCGAAACAGGCCCGGTTTTATGTGGACGATCAGTGCGTCAAGTACGAGAAGCCTCTCTTGGAGAGCGGCTGCTCGGCCGAGCAGACAGACATTGACATCAAGCGTGCTCTGTCTTTGCACCTTCCTTTCTTGGTTGCTTGCTTCTCCACTTAATAAAAGGCAGGTTGGTCAATAATTATATGACATTTAGGCAGATACTGTAGGTCTACGACGGCTAGACCGTCACAGAGGTCGATTGATAGTTAGAGCGGCTGTCCCAGACTTGCAGGCTTGTGTACTCGCGCAAGACAGTCCCAAAATGTCGAACTCCTTGACGTTTGATATATCGAAGGGACAATGGGGCCGGCTGGCAACGTCGATCCTGTGGTCCCCTTCAAGACGCAGACGTGCGCTGTGTGTGTATGTGTGGATGAGTGAGTTGCGACTGCACGAGTGAGAACAGCTGAGCATCAGGTACAAGGATGGTGGACAAGCTGATGAGGGTGGAGGTATCCCCATGTACCTGCCCCAGACGAGAGTCGCAGCGACATTCTCTCGGCCTGCAGCACGCGAGGTGCACGTTGCGGAACTTCCCGCATTTGCCCGACCACTGCATCGAATGGGTGCGCTCAGCGACATGCTGCCTTTTGGGTTGGCGGTCGACGGGGGTGCAAGTGGAACCTGCATTCACAGGCAATTGTAATTAATTCGCCTTTAGGAGTGAATATGTGCTAACTCTCGACACCGTCGCGCCAGACCCTAATACCCTAAACCCTAAAACCCTAAACCCTAAAACCCTATAAACCCTAAGCCCGAGAAGGCCAGAGACCAGTTTGAGCTCTTCTTCGTGAAGTCCGTGAAGCAGCTCAAGAAGTTCCACGAGGAGCCCTCGCCTGGGCCCTTAAACTCTGCGAACGCTATCACCAAGGTAACAAGCAATATAAATGTTTCAGTTATATGTGTGTATATATATATATA